CTAATGATTCTTTGGCTATCATTGGTTTCTGTTGTTATGTCCCCCTTTTCTTTTCTGATTTTGTTAATTTGCATATTCTCTCTCTGTCTTTTAGTTAGTTTAGATAAGGGTTTGTCTATCTTGTTGATTTTCTCCAAGAACCACCTCTTTGTTTCATTGATTCTTTGCATTGTTCTCTTTGTTTCTATTTTATTGATTTCAGCTCTGAGTCTGCTTATTTCCTTATCTATTCCTCTTGGGTGTGTTTGCTTCTTTTTGTTTTAGAGCTTTCAGGTGTGCTGTTAAGTTGCTAGTATGAGATCTTTCGAATGTCTTTATGAAAGCATTTAGTGCTATGAACTTTCAAACTCTCAGCACTGCTTTCATTGTGCTACATGTTTGGATATGTTGTGCATTCATTTTCACTGAGTTCCAGGAAGTCTTTCATTTCTTTATTTCTGCCTCCACACAGAGGTTACTTAGTAGGAATTTTTTCAGTTTCTGTGCATTTGTAGGCTTTCTGTTGTTGATATTCAGCTTTTATCTGTGGTGGTCTGACCAAGGATATGGTCAATTTTGGAGAATGTTCAGTGAGATGCTGAGAAGAAGGAATATTCTTCTGTGATTGGGTGAGATGTTCTGTAAATATCTGTTAGGTCCCTTTGATTTATGATATCTTTTAACTCCATTATTTCTCTGTTTACTTTTTGTCTGGATGACCAGTCCATTTGTAAGAGTGGAGAATTGAAGTCTCCCACTTTTTTTTTTTTTTTTTTTTTTTGCAAAAGTTAGTCACAATACATAATTTACCTAAAACTTTGATAGGATAATTTTCAATCCACTTGAAGACCATCCATGCACCCTGATGGCACTCACCTCCCAGTCCTCCCATGTCTGTAACCTTCCCCTATACCCTCTGAAGCAGTCCATTTTGTGTTGTCCATATATTCACTGGAGTTTGGTCGAACTCCTAGTGGCCAGCCCTCTAAGGGAGGGTGAATCTTTTTCTTCCCGAATCCATGATAGAAGCCATCTACTGAGGAGAGTCCTGTGGTAGCTGGAGCCAGATCTCCTGTGCCCATTCCACCACTTGCACCACAGAGCTGTGGGCAGGTGAGGTGTGGGGTTATCTCTCCTGTGAGGGGGTGCACCTCACTTGTGATGTGTGGAGCCGGCTCTCCCATGCTCACCATCGCTAGTACTCTTGTGTGTTGACTTTTGAGGGGCAGGACCAGCTCTCCCACAAGTTACATGGAGCCAGCATTCCCAAGACCATGGTACTGTGGCACTGATGTGTGGCAGTTATTGAGGGACCAGGGCAGATCTCCTGATCACATGTTCTGCATGGGCTTTGGTGGTATCACCCTTAGACATCAACGTGGCCCTTGGCTGTATCAGGACCATTGACCCCATTTATGGCCCTCAGTGTCTTCATGGGCCATGAGACTCAACCTGGTCTCAAGTGCTTGCACATGACACTCATTCCAGCTAGGTGGCCCAAGGTAGCTAAGCTCAAGGAGGTCATCCAGGAATCAGGCAGTGGTGCAGACTGCATACATCCACATTAATGTCAGGCTTCATCATGGCCTGGGAAAGCAGCATGTACCACCAGGCACTAACATGGCCTCCTGTGGTATCTTGGGCCATGGTGGTCTTTCAAGGAGATCTAATCCAGATAGTAAACCTTTCCTCATCTCAGGCCTCTGTTGTTGCCCAGAGTCAGGGGATCCCATGACCAGATGGCAGGTTCAGAGGTTTGGTTTGCATCTACATAAGTTCCAGGCTGTTGTACACCATCCTGCCAAACCCATTGGGCAATAACTGTTCCAATCTCAGCCCTCTCTTTCACAGGTCACTGCCATCATATCTCTGGTTCTGCCTCTCTCCATAGTGCTAGAACTGCTCTGTTTGTCTTTTCCACCTTTCCATCAAATATTTGTTCTTTGTAGTGGTGTCTGGTGCCATTTCCCTGGTGCCCATGAGAGAGGTGGTGGTGGTGGGGTGGTGGTGGGGTGGTGGCAGCACGTGGTTGGCCTTCAGAACTACTGCCGAAGTCTCCCACTATTAATGTGCGAGGTTTGAAGTATGATCTAAGGTTTAGAAACGTCCTTCACTGTCTCTTTCAATTTGAATTCTATTTTGTTAGATATGAAAGTGACTATACCAGCTTGCTTCTTAGGTCGTTTTGCTTGGAAAAAATTATTTTTTCCAACTCTTTACTCTGAGGTGATGTCTATCTATGACATTGTGGTGTGTTTCTTGTATGCATCTCCAGTCTGTTAAACCATGCCTTTTATGGGGGAATTGACCCTATTGATATTGGGTGATATTAATGACCAATGATTTTTTTTTCAGTTTGCCAAGTTATGACTATTTATTAACTGACCAGATTACAAAATACCACGGGCAACACCTTAGTTTATCCGTCTAATAAGCCTGTTTGTCTGGTCTTCCCTGTTGCCAGCATAACCACCTTCCACAAAATGAGTTGTCTTTTTCTTCATTCCACCTCATGGAGAAGATAATTTGAAGGGCCACAAGAAGTTATTTGCTTCCTTGAAGCGTTTTCCAACTGTATAGATCTCATGAATTAGATCCTCCATGCAGATGATGCCGCATTTACCAAGAGATTGAGCAATCAAGGAATTGTCTGTCAAGGCAATTCTCTTCTTATTGATTTTGCCATAGCCGCGCTTGTAGATGAGCTCGTTTACTGACTTCAGGTTGGGGTACCCCCATGCAATGTATGGTTCCACAATCCTCAGCATGTTAATTGAAGCCTTGTTGAGCTTAACAAAGGTGCCATTGAAGATCTGACTAAGACGGAGCAGCTTCAACACCTTTGGGAGCTTTGGGCTTACACCATTGATACCTCGGATTCGGATGACAAATGCCAGCTTGGGTTCTGCAGGCACATAGAAGTTTCCAGCTTTCCTTGCCATCCTAGCCATGCGAATCTCCGTCCGGTACATCTGCCTGTATTCCTTGTGGTAATGCTTTGCCTTTTCATAAATGAGCTTCCTCCGTGCCGTGCCTTCTGCAGTGTCTTCAGTGCAAAGTTTTTTCCGAAAGCGCTTCACCTTCAACTCTGCGAAATTCCTTCGCTTTTTCTTAAGGGTTTCTGGCACAGCAGGAAACTTCTTTTTCTTCTCTGGCACAGCCTCCAGGGTTCCAGTCGGAAAACAGAGAGAGGAAGCTGGCTCATTGCCGACAAATGATTGTTAATTCCCATTATTTTGTTGTTGTTGTAGTGTGTGTGTGTGTGTGTGTGTGTGTTTCCCTTCTTTGGGTTTTGCTGGCATGACATTATTTATTGCCTGTGTTTCTGTGAGTGTAGTTCCTTGGATTGGAGTTTTCCTTCTTGTATCTTCTCTAGGGCTGGATTTGTGGACAGATACTGTTTAAATTTGACTTTGTCCTGGACTATCTTGTTTTCTTCATCTATGGTGATTGATAGTTTTTCTGGGTATAGTAGTCTGGGCTGTTATCTGTGTTCTCTCTCTGTCTCTCTGTCTCTCTGTCTCTGTCTCTCTGTCTCTGTTTTTTTTTTTTGGGTTTTTTGAGACAGGGTTTCTCTTGTGTAGCTTTGGAGCCTATCCTGGCACTCGCTCTGGAGACCAGGCTGGCCTCGAACTCACAGAGATCCACCTGCCTCTACCTCCTGAGTGCTGAGATTAAAGGCATGTGTCACCAATGCCCGGCTTCTGTGTTCTCTTAATGTCTACATAACAACTCTCCCTTCCGGCTTTTAGTGTCTCCATTGAATAGTTGGATGTAATTCTAATAGGTCTGCCTTTATATGTTACTTGGCCTTTTTTCCCTTGAAGCTTTTAATATTCTTTATTTGTTTGCATTTTTAGTGTTCCTTTTGAAAGGTAACTATATACATTTTTATTTTAATATATTTAAAGAGAGAACTTATATATTGGATTAAAAAGACAGCATGCTGACACATTCCAAGTTTTAAAGACCCATTTAATGTGTTGACAGAATTAGCACAGACAGAGAATAACTAATAGTACTTTGGGAAGAGTAGTGATCCTCTGGGTAGGAAAGAAAGAGCCTTGTGGAGGTGACTACAGGAACACTTCCTTTTACATGTACAAAGTCACTGATGTCCATGGCAAAAATGGCCCAACCCACCCAGATAGCCTCTCCATTTGGTTGTCAGTAGTGTTTTGATTATTATATGGCAAAGGAACTTTCTTTTGTGGTCTAATCTATTTGGTGTTCTGTAAACTTCTTGTACCTTTATAGGAAAATTCCTGTTTAGGTTAGGAAAGATTTCTTTTATGATTTTGTTAAATATATTTTCTGGGTTTTTGAGCTGGGATTCTTCTCCTTTTTCTATTTCTATGATTTTTATATTTGGTCTTTTCATAGTGTCCCAGATTTCCTGGATGTTTTATGTTAGGAAGTTTGTAGATTTAATATTTTCTTTGACTGAGACTCTCACTTCCATCTTTTGTATTCTATTGGTGATGCTTACATCTGCAGTTCCTGTTCACTTAGATTTTCTATGTCCAGGTCCCTCAGTTGTGTTTTATTTATTGCTTCTATTTCCATTTCCAGGTCTTGAACAGTTTCCTTCACCTGCTTGTTTTTCTTGGCTTTCATTAAGAGATTTATTAATTTACTCCAATGTTTTGTTTGTCTTTTCCGTGATTTCTTTAAGGAATTAAATTCATTTCCTTTTTAAGAACCTTTATCATCTTTATAAAATTGGTTTTAAGGCTGTTTTTTTTTTTTGTGCTTCAGCTGCATTGGGATATCAGTTCTTGCTGTGGTAGGATAGCTGGGCTCTGGTGGTGATATATTGCCCTGGCTGTTGTTGATTATGTTCTTACACTGGCATCTAGGCTTCTGGACTTGGGAAGATTATAGGTATAGGTGAAATGCAACATAATTGAACACAGGATGGGTTATTAAATGTTGTATATTTATTAAGAAGGAATACTCACACGAGGAGCCAATAACCAGATTGGTACCCTGTCTCAGATGCCTCGAGACCTGGCCTGAACCCGAGAGAGGGCGAACTCCTTTCCTCCTAGCTCTTTATCCTATCCCTCTACTTACCTGTGACCATGCCCAAAAGGGCATGGTCAGTGGTGTAGGTATCCAGGGTCTCTTTCTACAATTCCCCTTGTAGTCTAAAAAAAAAGGATTTAAACTTGAAGCAAACTAGTTGTGTACATAATGTCTTAACAAATGTAAAAGCATATGTACATAGAAAATGAAGATAATTATGCACCAAATATCACTAGTAAAAAGAAGACTTTACACAGTAAGATGAACTGTGGTATACAAATTATAAGTAAGTTATATATACAAGGATCTATAACAGTGTAAGTTGTCTATAGCTAATAATCACTAAGGTGAATCACAAGAAGATATAATAATCTACTTACGTCTCATCCTAACCATATCTATCCCATCTAAACTCTGAAGTTATCTTAAAGTGATGTCCAAGCCTGAACACCTCCTTCCAACCCAACCCCAAACAATAGAAAACTAACCCTAACCAGGTGTACATTATCTTTAGTGTCAACATTGGGGAAAAGGGGCGTAGTATTCTCAGAGTTACTTCCTGCTGAAATGGGACTATGATAACCTCATGGGACCCTGTAGGAAGAAAAATGTTAGAGTAGTGAAAATTTCAAGTGAACTAGCTACAACATTTGTACCCAGTCTCAGTTTGGCAGGAGATGCTTGGTTGAAGTTCTTGATTTAAGTTCTTATCTTGATTGAAGTCCTTGTTTTGATTGAAGTTCTTATCTGAAGCTTTGGCCAGAGTGTAATTAGAATGTGCACCATCTCAGCTAGCTGCTCTGGGGTTGTCTAGAGCGATGTAGTCCCAAACCAGTTTTAGAGTGGTGATTGTCAATTCAAATGCATCAAGTTGGATCCACTGGAGTTGATGAGGTGAGGCCCCATTTTCTTTCCAGAGTCCAGAGATGGCTGTTAGGAAATTCTTTGTTCATTGTGGGAAACTTAAACATTAATATCAACACAAAAATTTCAACTTTTATAGGTATGCATACTGGGAAGGGCAATAATAGGGAATATAATAACTATGATGGAATTTAGACTTTCAGAGAAAGATGAGATAGACAAATGACAGTCCCTTGATTTTTTTCTTTTCCTGTCTTACATCTTACATCAATTGGCTTCTAGATACAATACAGAAACTCTGAATTTTGTTTCTACAACATGCTTGGATTTGGAGGAGGACAGCCAAATCCAACTCTAAAGTCAGCGTGAATTGGGACTAAAGGGTACAAGGAAGTAAAGAGAAATAGATTCTTGTATATAAATAGGTTTTAAAGTTTACCACATGATAGATTCTTCTTTGTTTGATGGTTCTTTTTGGTTAGCTATCCTCTGTTTTTTAGGTATCTACACGCTCAGTGTCTTCTTGCATTTTGGAGATGGGTTTTCCCGTGAAGACAAGAACAAAACACTTCCCTTTCCTTTGTGAGCTTTCTATACAATTCATGAGATATACCTTGGTGGATGACCTGTCATTTCTCCTCATCGAGAGGTTTTTCCTGTTCAACCTGAATCTTGACCAACTTTGATGGTATCCAAAACTTTTCTTCTCCTGTGGAAACAAAAGCAAAACCTTTTCCCCAACATAACACATGTCCTGGTTTCCCTACTGAGGTCAATACATCTTTGAATTACACCGGCTGATTCAGTTCAGAAGTTTTTTCTGTAGTCCAGTGTCTTTCTACACATACATACATACATACACCCCCCCACACACACAGAGAGAGAGAGAGAGAGAGAGAGAGAGAGAGAGAGAGAGAGAGAATCTTAAAAAAACTTAGGTAGAGGGTCGGAGCCTGCTCCAACGAGAGCTGGGTTACTTGAGTAGGGGCATGAAGATTGAGAAAAGGCAGATAAAAGAAGCAGACAGAAACACAGGATAGATTCCGGAGGACTGACCAGTCCATGCTTTTCCACACACTGGACATCCCTGAGTTTAATTTAGACCCTGCTTATGCACAGACTAGAGGCAAAGCAGAACAATGAGCAGCATAGTCAATTAGGCATCCCTCTGCACTGTCCTTGAATTGAGGAGCAGATAGGTTTACTAGTATTTGAGTCCTGTTAGCAGAAAGCAGATTCATTCCCTATCTCTACATGCCTTTCAACTGGCATCAGAAGCTTGTTAGCGAGATAATGTGCTCTTTTCCATGGGCTTCATCAGAACTTTCTCACGGCTCTCAAGGAGATTGAAACAAGCAAGCTTGAACTCCAATGTTTTATAAGTCAGAATAGATTCCAGATGGAAACTGAGTCACTTCTGGGCTCCCACAGGTAGATTCCTCCTGAGGGACAAAAACCAAGGTTGTTCTCTGGCTTTCATAGGTACACACATGAACATACACAAAGGAACAGAGAAGGAGAAGGAGGAAGAAGAGGATGAGGGAGGGGGTGGGATGTATGTGTGATTGGCACATCTGCAAGTCTCCCTAACTCTGTCACTTAGGCCCAGTGCAAGTCACTTATCCCCTTGAAAGTCATGAAACAAAGTCAGGCATAGTGGCGTATGCATTTAATCCCAGCACTCAGGAGGCAAAGGTAGGCAGATCTCTGAGTTTGAGGTTATGCCTACCTACAGAGTGAATTACTGGACAGCCAGGGCTACATAAATAGACCTTGTCTCAAAAGAAATCTTTTCAAAATTGCCACATGAGACTGTTGGCACAAGAAACTGGCAGGGACTCCCAGGCTTTGTTACCTTGGAGGAGGCAGGACATCTCCTGGAGAGTCTGAAGCATCCTGGGCCCTGTGTGGATGGATGGAGAGCAAAGTCATCAGGCTGACTTCTCAGTGGAGGGTGTGGGGATTCAACATTAGATAGTCTATATTAGCTCCTGAAAACCAGCCTGGACCTATTGGTTCTAGTCCCTCACAGGCTCAGAGCCCAGCAATGCCAGGTTCTGCTTTCACCTTGGAGCAACCAACAGTTTACCTGGATTTGAGGAGCTGGCATGCTGAGATCATGGCTTTTACTACT